AAACCTGATGGCATTCCTTGCTCCAGGAGATCGCAAAGGGCTTACTGGTGGAGGAAAGGAGAACATGCTTAGCCTGCATGCAGGTGGGCAGAGCAAACAGAAGTGGAGAGTTGAGGAGGATGGGTCACAGGGCAATGGCCATTTTCTGTCTCACTAGAGCCATTGATGGGTTTAGAGAAGAATATACATTTACTGGGTACTTCCAAGAGGGAAGAGGTTATTATTTTATGGGTTTGTGGGAACAGCAGTGGGAGAGAAGAGAACACCTCCTCCTCCCTTTATGTAGGATAAGGAAGGAAACAAGGATGTTGTGACAATTACTGAGACCTGCTGATAATCTCTGAGAGGGATGGTTATTTAAGCCAGTGCTTGAAGGATGAGGATTCAGCTTGGCATGGAGTGGAGATGAAAAAGAAGAGCAGCTGAGGAATCAGAAACAGCCTGCTGAAGAGCTAAAAGGAGCCAGCATGTTCAAAACGTAGTGGCTGCAGGAAAGGAAGGAAGGACACAAGAGCAGGGTGAGCAGTCATTGGTGATCAGATCACCTGAGCCTTGTAGACTGTGATAAGAAATTTGCATCTTATTTTATATGCTAAGGAAATTTCCTTGAAGGATTTGAGGCAGTGGGTTTTGTCATCTAACATTTTTATTATTTATTTATTATTATTTTTAAAGATTTTGTTTATTCATGAGAGACACAGAGAGAGAGAGAGAGAGAGAGAGGCAGAGGCAGAGACACAGGCAGAGGGAGAAGCAGGCTCCATGCAGGGAGCCCGAAGCGGGACTCGATCCCGGGTCTCCAAGATCACGCCCTGGGCCGAAAGCGGCATTCAACCGCTGAGGCACCCAGGCTGCCCCTAACATATTTTTAAAAGATTGAATTGGATGCTTGTGGAGAGTATATGAGAAGGGAACAAAACAAGAGGCAGGGAGACCAGTCTAAGAAGGCAGGCTGATGATGAGGATGGTTTGGACTAGTATGGTAGTAGCGGAATGAAGAGAAGTTGAATTAGAGATGTATTTTGGAGATGGAAATTATAGACTTGCTGATAGATTTGGATGGGGGCCAGGAGGCTGGAGGAAAGGGAAAAATAAAGGATGATACCCAAATGCCTGGCTTGAGCAATCGGATGGAAAGTCCGTCTCCTGAGATACAAGAGACAGGGAGAGGAATAGTTCTAGGTGTTTTGAACTTGCTAAGCTTTAAGGTGCTTATGTGGTTTTCACATGGAGATTATTAGGTGGGCAGTCAGGCTCAGAGAAGAGATTTCAGTGAGAGATACATATTTACAAGTTTTCCATATAAGATGGCATTTAATTTAAAGTCTTGGTTATAGATGAGATGATCTGGAAAATGTGGGAGAGAAGAGGGCCCACCCAGTGTCATGCCCTGAGGAACTGTTCCAGCAGAGGAACCACATACAGTGGGGTCAGAGAGGGAGCTTCCCTAGAGGTCACAGAAAAGCAGTAGAATGTGTGATATGGACTCCAGAATGGAGAGTGTTTAGAGAAAGGGGAAATGTTTACCATGTCAATTGGTAATTCAGAAAAGTGGCCACTGGATTTAGTAACAGGTCATTAATGACCTGAGAAGAGCAGTTTCAGTATAATGGATTGAGGAATGAATTGGAGCTGAGGAAATGAGTCACACCTTAAGATACATATGAATTACCTGGAGGTCTGGTCAAAATGTAGGTTCTACTTTAAGGCCTGAGATTCTGCATTTCTCAGGGGCTTCTGATAATGCCAGTGCTGCTGGTCCATGGAGTAACAGGTAGAAGAGAGGTTTTTAGACTTCACCATGTGTTAGAATTATGTGACAGGCTTCATAAAATACAGATTACTGGACGCACTTCAGTTTTCAATTCAGTAGGTCTGGGGTGGCACCTGAGAATTTGCATTTCTTACAAGTTCCCAGGTAACACCAATGCTGCTGGTCTAGGAACCATACTTTGAGGACCATTGGAGAATTTTAACTGTAGTGGGGAGCTTTCAGGGGAGATTTGTTTGTTTGTTGAGGTTGGGAAATAACTAATTCTAGCTTATTTATGTTGATGAGAATGATCGATCCAGAAGATATGAAGAAACTCAGAAGGTAGAGAGAAAGAGAATGAAGGAGAGAAGTCCTTGAGAGGATGAGGGAGGTGGCTCCAGAGCATGTATTGAGGTCTTGATTTTTTTTTTTAAGATTTTATTCATTTATTCATGAGAGAGAGAGAGAGAGAGAGAGAGAGAAAGAGAGAAAGAGAGAGATGCAGAGCCACAGGCAGAGGCAGAAGCAGGTTCCATGCAGGGAGCCTGATGCGGGACTCAATCCCAGGACTCCAGGATCACACCCTGCTGAAGGCGGTGCTAAACCGCTGAGCCACCCGGGCTGCCCAAGGTCTTGATTTTTGTAAGAAAGGGCATGTGTCCTTAGTTATAGCGAGAGAGGAAGCAGAAAAGATAGAATCAAGTGCGGACGGGTTTGTACATTTACTGGTAGATAAATGGAGCTTCCTTTTGCTAGTTTCTATTTTCTCAATGAAGGCAAGGGCAGCTTTGGAAAAAGAGGGTGAATTGGAGGTTTGAGGAGAAAGACCATGTCAAATGATGACTTTGAGTAAGAAAATGAGCTTCCTAGAAAAAAGCGGTAGTTTTAAGAGCTGTATTTGAGGTTAAGGTCAGGAATTAAGAGTGAAACCAGTCTGTATGGTTGTACATTAGTTTTTCTTCAACCTGAATTAGTTCTTGGATTCAGACAAGGAGAATTAAATAGTTGAGATCACCCAAAGTTAGACTTTATCTAGGTGGGTGTAGGAGGCAGAGGCAAAGACAGAGACGCAAGGGAGCATATAGTCTGAGCCAAGCAAGAAGAGAAATAAATGAAGATGGGAGAGGGCATGAAGGATGGATAGAATTAGCCAATGATGATGAGGTCCACAAATCGTTGTAGTCATACATACTTGGAAGTAAACTAGAAGTAAACTAAAAGGCACAGAAGGTTTGTGATGGAAAATGGGTGCTGGCATTCAAAACTGTGTAGGTGGGGCAGCTTTTGATGGTGATAGAGGTCCAGGGTGTGACCATGGAGGTGGCTGGGTAAGGTGGAGTTTCCTGGAGAGGTCAGGAAATTGAGAGGCCAGGATGTTGGATGTGTCCTCCACCTGGGTGTTGAACTTGCCAAGAATGATGACAGAAATTGGGAGTGGAGAGAGACTTTGAGATAGGAACTAACTTTTCAGTGAATAATGGAAAATTCCAGGTCAGTGGGTTACAGCAGCAGAGGTAGTGATAGCTGTGAGCAGGGGCTTTTGTAAAACAAATGTAGAATGATAGTCTGGAAGTAGGAATGGTTGGCAAGGAGGACATTTGCCCCACCTGCTAGCCACGAGGTACCTAGAATAGAGAGAATCCCCTTTAAGGGCAGGGCTGTAAGAGAAGTAGCATCTTCAAGGTAGAGCCTAGTTTCAATTAAAGAGGTGGAGGTGAGGCTCAGAAAGGGGGTTGGAGATTTATAGGAATTTGTAACAAATTGGAAGTTGAAGTGCAAGGACTTAGTCTAAGGATTTGGGAGGGAGTGGAGGGGAACTTCTGGAAGTACAGAGTCACATGGGAAAAGAGTTTGGTCATGATAGATGATCCAGAAGTCTTGGATGCCCATTCGAGACTGAGATAAACAGGAGGATGAGGCATGATCAGATTAGCCCAGTCTCTAAGAATAATTAAAATACACATCAAGTTTCTTGCTGCAGTTGTCCTACAGGATCTAGCCTCTGCCCATACCTCTGACCTCATTCTTTTCTACTCTCCCTGTGCTCCCAGTGTTCCACCTACACAGGTCATCTTTACACCCCCCAGCATGCCATATTTTTTCTACCAGTTTCTTCTTTCCTTTGTTTGTACTTGCTCTTCTGAGAAGCGGCATGGCAAAATGGTTAATATAGCATGAGCTGTGGATCCAGATTCCCTCCTCCTGACACTTTCAAGTCTTGTGATTGTGGGCAAGTTATTTAACTTGTCTGTGCTTTGGTTTCCTCATTTCTGAGTGGGGGAATGATAGCATTTACTTCATAGGGGTGTTGGGGATTAAAATTTATTTTAATTAAAAAAAATTAACAGGGCCCGGAACAGCTTCTGGTATGCAATAAAGACTCAATAAATGTTAATACAATTTTTTTCTTCTGTTTGAAGCTCTTTTTCCCTATACCTCTACATGGTTGCTACGTTCTCATCATTCAGTTGTCAGCTTGAACCTATTTGCTCAGACATCCTAGCTAAAGTAGCAAAACCCCACTGGCTTTCTCTCATTTGTCCCATTATTCTGTTTTATTTCATCATAGCGTTCATCACTATTTGAAATTATTGTATTATTCAGCTCATTCCCTCTCCCCCATCCCCTGAGGGATTTGTTGACTTGTTCCTTATTAGATTTTTAGCTTCTGAAGAGTGGCAGATACTTTGTAGGCACTCAAGAAGTTTTTGTGCCACCTCATTGTCCTGATGAAACCATTCCAAGCCCTCCGTTCTGATCAACATTTGGTGGCAAGGTGATAGGCCTGAGGCAGACAGAATCCAGGTCTTTGTATATTGGTCTGTTGGCTCCTGTAAATCAAGTGGCCACTTGTTTTTGTGTTTGCTGGGACACAGCTACATCCATTTTTAAAATTTATTGTCTGGCTGCTTTCTGGCTATAACCACAGAGTTGAGTGGTTGTGCTGAAGACCCTGTGCCTCACAAAGTCTGAAATATTTTACTCTCTGGCCCTTTGTGGAAAAAATTTTCTGACCCCTGATTTAGGCACCTAGAAAAGAAAATGAGAAGGAAACACCAAAAACAACAGATGGTTACTTTGGATAGCAGGATTATAGGTCATTTTAGTTTTTAATCTTTATACTTTGTATTTTATTGTATACCCATTTCACTTGGAAACAAAATAGCCTTCCTTATAAATACTAATTTTGAGGTATTTAGAGCACATTCCTTGATGAATTCTTTATATGTGCTTTTTTTTCCCTTAGTGCTGCTTTTGACACAAAAACTGGGTTACGTGTGGCAGTGAAGAAGCTCTCCAGACCATTTCAGTCCATTATTCATGCCAAAAGGACCTACAGAGAACTGCGGTTACTGAAACATATGAAACATGAAAATGTAAGTTATTCATACAAGGAAGAATAAATGCTGCTCTTGAATAGACTGGGGGAAAAATGTGTTCTGATTACTGCAAATGAGAATACATGAGAATGCATCGAACTTTGGACCATTCTTCTGGTACCAGGGTGTTTGTGGCCACTGTGTTATGCCAGGTAGCCATCCAAAGCCTTGGGAGTTCATGGGTACATCTTCCTGGAGTTTGAGTTTTACTAAGACAGTTTTAGAGGGAAAGCATTAGCCAACTTTTTAAAATAAAAGCATTTTTAAGAGAAAATATTACAAAAATAATTTTGCATTCTTTACCAGATTTACTTAATGTTGTAGTGTCCAAATATGGGAGTCTAAGGTTGTTTTGTGTTTTAATGGGTTATTTCAGTAGAGAAGTTTGAGACAACTTGCCTTAGGCCCACTGAATGCCCTATCAAAGGTGACTATTAATTTATGGATGATTTGATATAATTTTCCTTTTTAATCTTTTGCAGTATAGCTTCTCCAGAGTTAGGTATTTTAATAACTGTGACAAAGACATTGTTTAAGTTAAATATAACCTTTTCTTTTCTGTCAATTTGAAAATTTGAGAGCAATGCCATCCTGCAAAAAAACCCTAATACATATAAAGGGATGCAACTAGAATAATAACTGAAAGTGAAAAGACAGTTGACAAAGGATACTTACTTTCCTAAATTTCAAAATCAAGTTAAAAAGAATTTATTTGATTGCTGTATGAAAGAAACTGTAAAATTTGTAGCATTGTAGAAACAATGACCATAGAGATTTTAGAGTCATTTGACCCTATTGATTGTTACTGTATAGAAAAAATATTCAAAATGTGTAAATTTATTACTTGGCTATTCAGATCTTTTCTGTTTTAATAATTAAACTTTTAAGAATATCTTTAAATTATAGATAAATGATACTTTATTAATATACAGTTGTTTTACAAGGTACAAATTTTTTCTAAATTGGGAGCATTGAGACTTGAATTTATTTATTTGTTTATTTACTTATTTATTATTTTTAAAGATTTTATTTATTCATGAAAGACACACACACACACAGAGGCAGAGACATAGGCAGAGGGAGAAGCAGGCTCCATGCAGGAAGCCCAACATGGGACTTGATCCTGGGTCTCCAGGATCAGGCTCTGGGCTGAAGGCGGCGCCAAACTGCTGAGCAATCCGGGCTGCCCCTTGAGACTTGAATTTAGAATTGGATTACAGAAATGGTGGTATAATCACAGGAGTAGCTTATTTATTTTCATGGTTTATTTTAATTGCATACTATTGAGCAAATTCTGTTTTTCACAGGTAACCTTTATACCTAGGTATAATTTTTATGTGCATTCATGTGCAAAGCTGAGTTTTTAAAAAGTTCAGTAGAGCTGCAGCCTTCCTAATCAGTGACATGTTTACAAGAAGTTGAGATATATGGAAAAAGCTAGCAGGAGAAGCTTTATTCCAAGGTCTGCATACAATCAAGGTGGCCTGGTAGTTTAACTGATGTGTTTACATTTGGTTTTTAACACAGTTGAGTGTGTATGCTGTTTTTCATTACACATTAATAAATGTGACAAAGACATTATCATAGCTTCTTAAATACAGAAAACTTTGAAAATGGAATGCAAGCGAAACATTTATGGAACCCCAAAGCACTTTCAGGAGGCCCTGGGTTCCCACTGATGTTGCCAGTGCTCATTTACAAACATCTGGTTTAGATTACCAGCACTATACTTTATTGTTCTGCTTTTCTTCATAGACCATTTAAGCCAATGTTTAGGGCAAAGATTATTTTGGGTTATCTGAATCCATGCCTTGGCTTTTCTAATGATCATAAGAAACAACCTTATTTAGTTTATTATGCTCTAATTTTCTGTAATGAGATAACTTCAAAATGTGTCTTCTGTGGTATTAGGTTGGTTACGTGTAGGTCACTCTCTATTTGTAGAAATGAAGATGCCACACTGATGGGATACAATTGTTCTAATTTAGGAAGGGCTACAAGAATCTTTATTTTTTAAAGATTTATTTATACATGGAGAGACACACAGAGAGAGAGAGAGAGAGAGAGAGAGGCAGAGACACAGGCAGAGGGAGAAGCAGGCTCCATGCAGGAAGCCCAACATGGGACTTGATGCTGGGACTCTGGGATCACGACCTGGGCTGAAGGGAGACGTTCAATCACCGAGCCACCCAGGTGTCCCATACAATAATCTTTTTTTTTTTAATTTTTATTTATTTATGATAGTCACAGAGAGAGAGAGAGAGGCAGAGACACAGGCAGAGAGAGAAGCAGGCTCCATGCACCGGGAGCCCGACGTGGGATTCGATCCCGGGTCTCCAGGATCGCGCCCTGGGCCAAAGGCAGGCGCCAAACCGCTGCGCCACCCAGGGATCCCCCATACAATAATCTTTAAAAAAAAAAAAAAGACGGGCTGATGGGGTGCCTGGGTGGCACAGTCAGTAGAGTATCTGACTCTTGGTTTTGGTTCAGGTCATGATCTTGGGGTCATGGGATTGAGCTCTGTGCTTAGTGGAGTCTGCTTGGAACTGTCTCTCCCTCTCCTCCTGCCCCATCCCATCGCATTTGTTCTCTCTCTGTCTCTCTCACTCAAATGAATGGTTAAGTGTTTTTTTGTTTTTGTTTTGTTTTTGTTTTAAAGAGGGCCGACAGTATTAGGAAAACGGGATTTTAACTTACATAAGTTGTTTCATAAACAGCTTGCTTAATATTAATAGCAGTTGGTCTTTTCATGTTAACATGAAAAGGTTAGATTTTAGCAGTATCAATGTAGAGGGTCATCTGTACTTAAATATTGGTGATTTGGTTTTGAACAAAAGAAGGCATATGGCTGAATGTTTTATAGTTCTCTGTTCTGTTAGGGGCTAACAGACTTTGACTCAATATAGGAAAATTCCTGAATGTCAGCATATTCCACAAACATTTTTTAGGAGCTCTCCATGTCAAAGTAGTTTTACCTAGGGAAGATCCAAGACTTCCAAATAAATTTAATTGAGGATTTTAAGAGGAGTTCCTCTCCTTCATCTTCCTTTTTCTCTTCCTCTTTTTTTAAAATGACTCTTTTGGGGGGGGGCGCCTGGCTGGCCCAGTCAGTAGAGTATATGACTCTTTTTTTTTTTTTTTTTTTTATGTATGAGATAATGTTTATTGTTCTAAGCTATTAAGTTGTGGGGTGATTTGTTACATGACAATAAATAATTAATATATAATAATTACATAGCCTTATAAACTTAGAGATCTCATTTAAGGAAAACTTACTTCTACCTTTTGCATTTGTACAATGTGAGAAATTATTCTTGTCTTTTCTTGGCCTCTGGTCTAGCTCAAGTTACCTAACCGAAAAAAGCAATCAGGCTTGCCAATCCAACCCAGGAAGTCAAGATCTCATTTTTATTCTTTAAAGATTTCTTTCCCTTTTCCTTTTATTGCAGAAAGCACCCCACCATATCACCTTCACATATAGAAATATGATTCCTCCAAAAACCAAAGGAACTGGAGCCCAGAATTGCCCAATTAAATATAGTATTTAGGAAGTAATAAACATTTGAGAACTGATTCTCTATATCTGAGTTTTTCTAAGCTGAGAAAATGGTGCAGACAGTAGTGTTAATGTCTTACATTTATATAGCATGTGTTGCTTTTCATGTTTTCAAATCCACCATATTGGAGGTAGGTGGGAAGATATAAATAAACTAGCATACATATGGAAACATGTATGCTTTGCTCATAGTCTCATGGTAAGTGGATAACAGGGCCAGGTCTAGAATTTGGGTTTCAGTGACTCCAAGTTAGACTTGATGCTTTTCAAGCAGGATCTCCCAGCAGTGATAACATGAACACTCTTCAGTTGGGGCTGTCCTCTGAGATCAATGTGCATTTGTAGGTCTCTTTAAAAGCCTGAAGGAAAGGTGGTATTACTTCATCCACAGTGACATGCCTTCGGAGCTCCTCACTCAGAGAGGTGACACCTGTCCCAACCAGCCCGCAGGGGACAATGTGCTCAAACCACCCAAGGTCTGTAGAACAGTTCAGAGCCAGGCCGTGGGACGTGATGTGTCTTCCACAGCGGACTCCGATCGCGCAGACCTTGCGTTCCCCGAGCCAGACACCCGTGTAGGGCGGGGCCCGCGCACGGGCGCCTTGCAAGCCCTGGGACTCGCACAGGCGCACTGCGCACGCCTCCAGCGCCGCTACGTGGGTGCGCAGGAGCAGGCCCAGGCGCCGCAGGTCTAGCACCGGGTGGCAGAGCAGCTGGCCCGGGCCGTGGAAAGTGGCCAGGCCACCGCGTCCCGTGGCGCGTACCTCGGCGCCCAAGGCCCGCAGCCGCGCCATCTCCTCCGGCGTCAGGCCGCCACGCAGCCCGGACGTGTACACGGGCCCCGCGGGCTCGCAGAGCAGCAGAGCGCCCGCCTCAGCCCCGGACGGCGCCTCAGGGCCTGGCGCGGCCTGCAGCCGCCGCAACCAGCGCTCCTGTAGGGCCAGGAGCTCGGCGTAGGGCACCCGGCTTCGCCGCACCAGCCGTACCGCGGGTGGCCGCATGGCGTCCGAGTATATGACTCTTGATCTCAGGGTTGTGAGTTTGAGCCCCATGTTGGGTGTAGAGATTACTTAAAAATAAAATCTTTATTTATTTATTTATTTTTTTTTTCTGGTTCAATGTAACTTTATTTTTTTTTAATTTTATAAATTAATTTTATTGGTGTTCAATTTACCAACATACAGAATAACACCCAGTGCTCATCCCGTCAAGTGTCCCCTCAGTGCCCGTCACCCACTCACCCCCACCCCCCGCCCTCCTCCCCCTCCACCACCCCTAGTTCATTTCCCAGAGTTAGAAGTCTTTATGTTCTGTCTCCCTTTCTGATATTTCTCACACATTTCTTCTCCCTTCCCTTATATTCCCTTTCACTATTATTCATATTCCCCAAATGAATGAGAACATACACTGTTTGTCCTTCTCCGGTTACTGTGGCCAAGTT